CAACTTATCTCCTGAAACTAGATTATTAAATGTATAATGGCCGTGTTTTATCAAAGAGCATAATTTTGCCATTTTTTAACTTGTTCTATCTTTCCAATAAATATTTATCAAAGTTTAAATATTTTAGGAAGACTCTATGCTGCGGCAAGACGGGCTGGGTACAATGTACTTGCTTTAGGCCAACATCTAGGTAAAAAAATTAAAGGGAGTGGTCGCAAAAAATTAAATGTCAGACTGAATTCTTTAGCAAGTCGAATGTAAGTAATACCTCATAATATTTTTTAGTTTGTTTTTTAATTAATTTTTCGTTGAAAACTTGTTTTTACGGCTGGAGATGGATTTTCGAACATTTGTTGGAAAACACGTTATCACAAATCTTAGGCCATTGTTCGGAGGGGTTTAAATTTGAAAAATGCAGATTTAGAATTGCTTATTATCTATATTATAATTATTGCTTTATAATGTTTGTTTGAAACCAAAGCAATTAATTTATTGTTCCCATGTAAAATACAAATTGAAACGTCAATCTTAAAAGTGTATTTACTCTCTTTACAACTTTATGAATTATCTAAAAATCTGAATTTTTATAACTCTAATGTAGAATGCCTTGACTGGAGTAAATGTATTTCCATGTTTTTATTACATCGTCATCAGAACATCAGAATATTAAGCTAGTTTTCAATTTAAAGTGTCTGTATTCTGTAAGCAAAATTTCAAGTGACCCTTCATTTAAAGGAGGACGAGCCCTATTCACGTACCCTTGAAACTGTTATCTGATCAGTAAAATAAGCAGTTTTTAAAATTATAAACATGGAAATCTAATTCATACTTGACCAGACAAAACTTCTACGGGTACCGTTGTTAATCTAACATGCTTCTCTAAAAATAGAAGGTCACTTCAAATTAAGTTTACAGTCCCTTTAAAATAACTTAAAAATAAATTTCATTATTTTTTAGATGATTTGTCTGAAAGTTTTTTCATGTCCTTATTCCATAATGGTAGACTGCGAACTATGAAGGCTAACTATACTAACTCAGAAGGAAAGGATTTTTGTTCCAACAAAAAATAATATTTAGAAAAATACTTGATTGATTTTTTGTGCAGTCGTCGTCGTATATATCAATACAGTGAAGACTACTTTCGATTTTAATTTTGATTTCTACAAGGCTATTAAGCAGCAAAGATACACAAAACACATAAACATGTAAACAAACATGTTAACACCTTCCTTTTTTTCCCTCATAAACTTGTAATTTGATAAAAGCTTGTTATAAATCAAAACTTAAATGGACCATTTCTTGTGTACAAAACCCTTTTAGACACCAGAACTCTAAACAATTATAAGTTGACGTTGAATTTCACGACTTTTTGGACTACTGAAATTGCTTTTTTGTGATTAGCTGTTATTTTTTAATCTCTGAACATAAGAATCCTTCCAGGAGATCTAAGAATAATCCGACCGTTTGTGTATGTACGGGAAAATCTATTGCGGCATTTTGCGGAATCGGAAAAGCTCCCGATAATCGCTGAAAACTGTCCTGCCTGCTTTGAAGCTCCGAAAGAGCGGCAGCGTATAAAACAGCTTCTAGCTCAACAAGAGCTTCTTTTTCCCAGGTAGGTTTTTTATTTCATATGATAGGCATTTTATCTACTTAAAACTGAACAAAAACAATTAATGTATATTGCATAATGGGGGAAAAATTTACCAAAGCTATTTTTTTATTTTTTTATGATAATTTTTAAATCATTCAATAAAAGTCATTCATGTGTATTTGTTTATTTTACAGGGTGTCCCAATAAACGTTGGAAACTAGAGACCAATTAAATATCGTCTTTGATTTCCGATAGCAAAAGAATGGCCTATTACGAATGCAAATAGCGGTCTACTGTTTTGTGTCTTTAAGTCAGGTTTTTAGACAATGTTGATCAAATGAAATAAGTTAATTCCGAGCAAAATTCTTAATTCTGTAAATTTTGGAGGTACAGAAATGGCAGAGCACACGTTGAAAATCCCTAGATTTTTCGACCTATTAATTGGATCACTGTGCAGTGCACAATAACAGAAATCAATGCAGTGTAGATATAAAAAAAAAACGATCTAAAAATGGTCAATTAATTCACATGCTCATTGGTAGTAGGGACACCCTGTTTATTTTCCATGTCAATGTTGTCCAAATTATTCATAAAAATTGTTGTTTAGATTGTATTGGAACTTAAAAACGGCTTTATATCCTGTGATGCGCATCCACAAGACCGGACTAGAATCCGCCATTTTTGGTAAATCCGCGGATATCTCTGCCGCCATTGACGAAGACGACATTGAATGAACTTTTAATTCATTGTAATCTGCTGTCTTACAACTTATAGAAATCAATTTTTTATATTTTATTTTTTAGAATAAATTGGTAAATTCAGTAAAACATGTCATTTTCTATTGTTTTTGAAGGAAAGGAAGACTGGTTTGAACTGTACACGCGCTTCACTCTAAACAAACACAAGTTGTATTCATTCATATGGTTCATTTTCCATATCTTTAAAAAGGTTCAGTTTGTTACTTGTTATCCTGAATTTATTTTATTTTATTAAGTTTATTAATTAAAGGGACTGTTGACGTTATTTTAAGTGACCTTCAATTTATAAAGTGACATGTCCGATTCACAACAGTACTGTAAAAGGAGTTTTGCGAAATTCTGCTTCAGATATTGTCTAAATTCAACACTTTACTAAATACTAACTGAAAAACTGGCTATATATACCATTCGTGTCAATTAAGGGCGTATATAAGGATCTCCTAGGGTAGGGGGGTAAAATGTAATATTTTTTTTCGCTTAAGTCGATTGATTCAAATTATTTGCGCGAAGCGCCAAAAAAAATTTGTTTATATTTTTCCTCTTGACGGTAATCACTAATCATGCACAAGGAGAATTGAGATCAAGTTTCTAAACTGGGATATTTATTTCCCCAAGATTCTAGAGGGGGTAATCCCCTAGGAATCTGTGAAGGGGGGGTAATTAACCACAATAACCCCCCTATATACGCCACTGCGTGTCATTGATCAGATAAAGGTTCAAAGGTGACTAATGTGAATCGAACGTGTCCCTTGCTAAATGGAGAATCACAATACCTGACCCAGACTGCAATAGTTAGAAGTGTTTTGACTAGAACTGGTAGAACATAGAACTGTTCTGTATATATTATACTCACGCCAAGCACACATACAAAACAGACAACTTCAAGAATATACCTAGATATAATGCAAATTAGATATACAGGGATAGTGGGGTGTTTAGCTATTTTAAGCCCCAATGAAGGTTTCACAAGCCGTAAGAATTGCAGATTGACGCCATAGCCCTGTTGCAAACAATCTCCAAAGTCTAGCATTTTTTACGTATTTACGTATTACGTACTTAGTACTACTTACCAAACGAGCCAAGGTGTCAAGAGGTCTCTTTTCCCCTGGAATAAAAAGTTATTAATTTAAAAAATTAGTTCCATATCTGGTTTTTTTCTGCAAGAAAAAGATAATAAGAAGTTTTTTGGTTTGGAAAAATCTGTAAAAAATTTCCTTAAAGATCCCAAGGAGTGCTAACATATCCATCGTGGTGGCCAGGGTTCCCCAGCAAACTAAACAACTGCTTCCAACCTTCAAAAATTTATTTTTTGAGTAACTTTTTTGATGTTCATTTTCTTTATACCATAATGTATGTGAAAAGGTCTGAATTCTCCCAGAAATCAACTAAACCCAGAGTAAATCCTACTCCTCCTACAATAAATTAATTAGATTTAGAAATAATACAGGTTAACCCAGAACTCATAAAATGTCGTTATGGCACTTATTTTATTATATCTAAATCTTAGTAATTGTTTATATGAATAAATAGCCATGAAATATGTGGGAACAGGGAAGAGCTCCATATGATTATTTAATTAAAAAGCTAAATTTCTGCAGCATTCAATTATCAGTAGGTTTAGAAAACGACATTTTATAAATTCTTTCGAACCCTGTTAAGGTCTGGGTTAAACTATATGTACATTGTACACTGTAAAGGGTGTCAGAAGAAAATATTATTAGAAGCACATCATCCTGTAAATGTCAGGACTAAGTGAATGTTATGATTCACAATTAAAGAGTCGGAACATACAATTAGGTTGGTTTACGAATGAATGAAGTGATAAGGAATTAAATGTATACGATCTTAACAGTTACGAGATAAAATATTTTTTATCCAAAAGGACAGAATAGACGTATAACATTTTCCCGATACCAACATCTTTATTGTGTAAAGTGGGACTAATAAAACTGTGGAATAGAAGGACACCATATAACCACAATTATGTAAATTTGTTTTTATATTAAATTCAATGAGTTTGTTATTGTGAACACTGCACAGTTGCGGTGTTTTCTATTTAGACGACTCTTCAGATTTAGAACTTCAGTCGTCGTCTTCATTTTCACATTTTTAGGGGTCTCATGCATTGTATAACTGAAAGGGATTCCTACCTACTGCAATTATTCCGAGGTTAATTGCTGCGAACATTATGATAAGTATTTTTAGAACAGATACCTCCTGATTTCATCCATATTCAATACAACTCACAGGATCCGAGGAAAGTTTATGACTGATCAAAGTTGATAAGTTTGCCATGAAAAAAATGTAGACAATATTTATTCTTAAACATCCGCGATTTGAGAACGTTAAAAAATTGAAACTTTCAGAGCAACGGTGTTTATAAATTGTGCAGAAGGGGATGCAAAGCGCCCATGTATAATATAGCGTAGTGTAAATATTTTGTAGTCAAGTTATTAATTAACAAAAAATTAAGTTTTTTGGTTCATGTGGATCAACTTTTGTCACAAATTGCCATATTTTACTATTTTTGATTTTAATCTTCAAAATTTTGGTTGATTGAATTTTCTTTCCTTGTATCCGCAGCATAAAACCTCCTTTTCCACTTCAGGATTCTCCCTATGATGAAATGAAAAATTTAAAAAATTGTTTTGTTCGGTGATTTGAAATTTTTTCTTCTAAAACTAAATCTTGGATTGCAGATAAGACGATTTTTAAATAAAAAGATATAGTAGCATCGTTTTCAGACAGTTCAGAGGGGTTGATATGAATATGAATTTTTTGTTACGCTTAAGTTAAAAAATACGAGTTAGAATAAACAAAACAGGATATTGAGAATGTTTTATGTTTTTTTTTCTTTTCTGGTACCTCTGCCAGGATAGCTAAAGGTTTAGAGAGTACCGTTACGAACTACGTGCCATATTTTTAAATAGACGGTCACTTTGATTTAATTGAATTAAGAATATTATTGAGTTTACTTTTCAGAGCCATCACTTGAAGAAGACATAGTTGACGCTGAGTCCTCTGTTGAAATTTGATCTGTATTTATCATTGATTTTCTTATTGATCGCCGAACCTCGCTTCGGATCATTCGATCAATCGAATCCATCGGTCTCCGAATTGAATGATTAAAAGACTGATTCAAATCTTTCTTCTTTCTGTACAATCGTCCGCCATTTTGTTTAGACAATTGCTCATTTATCGAAGACGACCGGACTGTAGTATTCCGTTTAAGTTTAGTTTGGTGATTTCTAAGCTCAGCTGGTATAATTTTAGGCTGAATATCTCTGATACTTCGGCTCAATGGACGTCTGTCTGATCTGCAGAACACGAAATATGATTACAGGAGGNGCTTTGGGGCTTAGTTCCCTAGAACATAAACGGTTGGGATTTCAAAGTTTTAACAGTTAAAACTCATTTCTTTGATGGCAAAAATTTAGTCGTATATACCCCTGCAAAGGGGGTTAGGGGTTTGAGAAGTTCATCTGTGAAAAGAATTGTTCACTTTTCAAATGAGGGAATGGAAGTGAAAAGAAGGGAAGGGATAAGAAGGGAAGGGATAAGAAGGGAAGGGTTGGGAAGGGAAGGGAGGATTTAGAGAATTGATTTCGTTCCTAAGATTCCATTCTCCACTGTATTCCATTATGTTTTAACCTGTAACAATTTAAAACCTTAAATCAAGGAATGATAGAGATCAGATAAGGATGGCCATCGTTGTTAAAAATTCAAGGAGTTTTACTTTTAAAAAGCCCCTGCTAGAATTGGAAATTATAATATGTTAAATCTTGTATGCTAAACTACAGGCCGTGTCCCACGAACATGACTGTCTTAGATCCTAGAATAGATCGCTAATGCAAGCCATATTTGGATGAATTGGATTGCCCTCTGTACACTATATTATCCAAGAATGTATTATTCTTTAAACCAGGCGCGCAACTGNATAAAAAAGGGGAAACGAGAATACGAGAAATTGATCCCCAATAATTCTCTAAATTTGGGACTCAACATCGGAGAAATATCAGGGAAATTCTGGGGAATAGGTCCTCAGATGGTTCCATGGAAAAAAGTTCCCAACTATGTTTACTGGGTTCATGGTTTTGAGCCCCAGCAGGGTACTGAAACCCTCCCCCCCTTGAAAAACAAACAAATTAAGGCCTGGAAAAACTCCTGTGTACGCCGCGCCCCTAGTCCAGAGTGAATTATAATTAGGTATTACCCGTGAACTGTCTGATATGTGTAATAGATCAACAGAGTTCCATTTTCCTACACTAGAGGCACAGCTTCAGAACATTTTAAGGTGCCGCGCCCCTAGTACAGAATGAATTATAAATAGGTAATTGGAGTATTTTGAGCCTATTTATGCAATATAACAGTCTCAATTTTATGTTAAGTATCATAAGTAGGGATGTTAACGTTTTCATTTTACTTTAAAATGATCATTTCGTTATGAAAACGACGACGAAAAATTGAAAAGGAAATTATTTTAAAAACAATCGTTTTTATAAAACTCGTCGCTTCGTTAACTATCTTTAACGACGACCCTTCGTTAACGATCGTTAACGACGACCATTCGTTAACGAACTGTTTAACTTCATGTAAGACGACAATCAATTAAGTTGCATGTAATTTTTTTTTTCAAAAACGACCGTTTTTTAAAGTTCGTAGTTTCGTTAGCGATCGTTAACGATCGTTGAAAATATTGTCAATAACATTTTTTTCAAAAACGATTGTTTTTTCAAAAGCGATCGTTTTAAAAAAAATTATCGCATGAAAAACGGTTGCAAATCGTTTTTATAAAAACGATCGTTTTCAAAAACGATTATAACAACTTTAAATCTATAAGATCTATTAAATAAAGCGCTTAAGTAAGAAATAGAAAATGGAAATGGATTAAAAAGTTCGAAAGTAAAGACTCACTGACATCTGAACCACCATGACACGATTGGCTAGTTCAAAGTACACGCGGTGGACTTTAACCCATTGAAAATTGACCAAATGTTTAAAACACAATTTATAAACTCCGTAAAAACATACAATGTGAAATTATCAACAAAAAAGAGAGATGACGTCCACACAAAAAGGTTATTGGGGGATGTACCCCTATCCTTGTCCTACAGTTATACTACTTTACTTATGAGAGATTTCATCTTTATGCAGAGTCCTCTGGTCCTCTGTTAAATGAAAAGCCAATTATTTATCGGCAACATTTAAAGAAAAAAAAATGCGTGGATATCTTTAAATTTGTCTGACGCTGTTTGTGTAAGACTTGCAAACGTCTGCGGTTTTATTTATTTCTAATTTCAGAACAAACCAAACTCAGTTGATTAGGCAGTGAAACAGTGATCTATAGAATTAAAGTGCCTGGGGCTTTACTCAGCCTGTAAAGAAGGCAGTTCAGCGCTGAAGCTTAAACCGTGTATATAAATAGAATACAGCGACAAGTTTAAAGAAACCAGTGATATATAGATATATAGATATAAACTTACTTACAAAGAAATTCAAAGAAGAGTTTAAATTGTTTAGTTTGTTTAGTTTTATGTATACATATGTTAATTCAACATATGCAAGTTTTATCTTATTTTAAAAATATTTCTATTTCTGTAGAAATATCTGCGTCATATAAACGGTGACGCAATCTCAAAGCTTGACAACAGGCCGAGTGTACGCAAATTTCATAAATTAAAAAAGCAATTGCTCAAAAAAGACATTTCTTGAGTTAAAGGGACTGTAAGCGTAATTATAAGTGACCTTCCATTTAAAGAGGGGCATTCCCGATTTACATCAGTATTCTTCAAGCCTTTGACTCATCATCGAGAGATTTCAACGTATAATATATCTCATAAAAAGCTATGTAAAAGTTGTAAAATTTGAGTGTAATTACGAGCACTGTTTACTGGTAACACTTTGTGACCTCGTAGCTCCTGAAGTAGATGAGAAAAGCAAATTATTTAGTTTCGTGTTGGAAATTCAAAACATTTTTGTTCTTCCATCAGAGAAGTTATAATTGAAAACAAATGAGATTTCAAACTTACGTGGAATTTACTTTAGTTTGACGTGTAATTTACTTTAGTTTAAAGTACAATTTACATTAGTTTATCGTGCAATTTACTTTAGTTTAACATGCAATTTACTTTAGTTTAACGTGAAATTTACTTTAGTTTGCCGTGCAATTTACTTTAGTTTGACGTGTTATTTACTTTAGTTTAACGTGCAATTTACTTTAGTTCAACGTGGAATTTACTTTAGTTTCACATGCGATTTACTTTAGTTTAACGTGCAATTTACTTTAGTTTGACATGTCATTTACTTTATTTCAACGTGCAATTTACTTTAGTTTAACGTGCAATTTATTTTAGTTAACCGTGCTATTTACTTTAGTTTGACGTGTAATTTACTTTAGTTTAACGTGCAATTTACTTTAGTTTAAAGTACAATTTACATTAGTTTAACGTGCAATTTACTTTAGTTTGACGTGCAATTTACTTTAGTTTGACGTGTAATTTACTTCAGTTTAACGTGCAATTTACTTTAGTTTAACATGTAATTTAATTTAGTTTAACGTGCAATTTACTTTAGTTTGACGTGTAATTTACTTTAGTTTAACATGCAATTTACTTTAGTTTAACGTGCAATTTACTTTAGTTTGACGTGTAATTTACTTTAGTTTGACGTGCAATTTAATTTAGTTTGCCGTGCAATCGTTTCTGTAGATTAAACAGGAGCAGTCCGTCATCCATGATCGGTCACAGGTTTAAAGGATGCCATTGCGAATTGGGGAAATAGAAATTGAAATCCCTGAAAGAAAAGAAATACAAAAATAAATTTTTATGAATAATTCTTTGGTTCGTTTATCAAGAGATGATAGAATAAGAACAATATGCAACTCTATGCAAGAAATAATAACAATAATAATGAATTAATATAAATGAATTTTATTGCATTTTTCAAAGTAAAGTATATAATATCTATGACAGTAATATTAATAAAAACGAGAATAAAAAATAAAAGAAATAAAATCTTTTTATTGTTAAACAAATCCCAAGGTTTGAAAAAATCATATTATTTATGCATGTAGGTAGTGTATACCTTTACATACATATAAATCATGTAGATATGCCAATTTGAGTATTTATTATTTTGCCCAGTATCGTGTTACATTCATGGAACAAAATAACATCAAGTCTAATGTGCGTCCCGAAATTGATACAAACTAAATTTGTTT